TTTCCCTCAACCCACCTTTGCCACTACATTCATTGGTAAAAGACTGCAACTGTAGTCACAGTGTACAAAGGCTTCTTGTTTCAGGCCTCTCTAAATGATTGCACCAATGGCAGGCAGTGAAATGGTGGGGGGGATGAGGTGGGATGTTTGGGGTGGAGGGTGGGGGTGGGTGTTTGGGGTTTTTTTAAAGAAATATACCAATATGGCTGCAAGACTATAAAAAAAATAGCTGATGTTAACCACCCATCCTTTTATCCTTTTGTTTTATTCATGGGATGTTACTGTCTGTACACAGTTGCTTAATCTCTGTAAAATCAGCTTTGCAGAGAACTTCCTTGAAAGACTATCTGAGTGTGGAACACCAGGCCATCTTTGTCTTACTGAAGAACTAGAGAATACATGTATCAATGTTACTTATGGCAAAGCTGTTGATTGGCACTTCTGCAGCATATTTCTCAATAGATGCTTCTTTACGTAGTAAAAAATACTGGATACCTTGTAGTTGTATGCTGTTGTGGTTTATGGAAATGTAAGATTTTAGTTTAATCTACAAATTTGTATTCTGATAACAGGACTACCAGCAGGCGGTGCCATATGGCAGTTGAGCAAGCGATCTACCTGGGTGAGAAAGGTACGCTTCAGTTGACTTAAGCTGTCTAGAGGGGTTTGTGGGGAGTGTTGTGTTTTATATTGCTTTCACATCAGGGCATGCATTGTAGTTTGTTTTTAGAGGAGTTTTCTGTAACTTCTTTTTCCTTTAAGAACAACTCTCTGAATCTAGAGGAGGTGTCATCAGAATGATTTAATCTGTTGGTCATCACGGGGGAGACGAGTAGAAACAAACTTTTGTGAACTGTTTGAGCCAATAAGAACTGTAGAAGTCATACAGTTAGAATAATAGCAAGTGAAATGGCAGTGTTTGGTGTTACCTCAGAATTTATTAAAAAGCACTGATTTCCTGTTCCATGATTGAGTAGGACAATCCAGATGAACTTCACACAAGTCTTTACCACTTTTACTTTGCTTCTGATAAACCAGTTTTGGCAACTCGGAGCAAGCTGATGTTAGCAGCAGTGATGTTAACCAGTGAAAGGTGCAAAGTGTTTGTGTGGCTTTCAAATTTCTCTGCTTTCTCTCTGCTCTAAATTTGAAGTGTTATTTCCGGAAAGGCTTGTCCTCCAATCACCACAAGCTATCAAGACCCAGAATACTACTGAGTATTGTGTTGCTGATGATGGCCTTGAACAATGTTCCCAGCAGGAAAGTAAGGTATCTATTCTGTAATTGTTCCTTAAAATGCTGAGTACCATTCAGATTGGTAACAGATACCTACTGTACAGCTATTGTTAGAAAGGAATTGCATAATGAAATATCAAAGAATCAAAATTGTATTCTGCTGCTTTCTGATGACAGAAGTTTTTATTTGCGTAGATTTACCCAGGCTTCTTAACTGCTAGTTAAATTGTGTGAAGAAAATATAGACATCTTTCTTAAAAAGAATTTCAGAAGGTTACTTAGTCCTCCTTTCTATTTGAAGCACGACTGTCACCAACACTAAATCGAGTCAGCCTGGAGGTGGGTGGGAGGTGTTTCTTTATTTTTGTCTAGAGGTTCCACAGCCTCTGCATAACCTGTGCTTCGCCACCTTTCCGCTCGAGACTTTATTAGTCCCAACACAACCCTGGGGTTCTTCGCTTTTGACCAGCTTCCAACTGAGTATCAAACTATTGATTAATACTCTTTAAGTCCAGTAGTTCAGTCAATTCTTAACTCATCTAACTATCTGTTGATCTAGCTAGTGTGTCCTCAGACTACAAGTAAGAATGATGTGGTAAGTAAACCATTTCAAAAGCCTTGCTGAAGTCATGGAGTATTGCAATGGCTGTTTTTCTTTAGTTGTGAAAGGTCTACCCCCTGGTTTAGCCATGTTGACTATTCCTGGTCATCCTTTTTCCCAATCATATAAAAGATGTGGAATCCAGAAGGATATGCTCCGTTATATTCTCAGGGACTGGAGTGAGGCTGATAAACTATAGTTCCCCGGTATTCTTTGTCCATCTTAAATTGGAGCAATATTAGTTTTTTCCGGCTGTCAGAGACATTCCCTGGCTTGTCATGATTATTTTTTATTGTAGATAATAGGCAGCAGTGTCCGCAATTCTATCAGCATGGTGACTCACATCTACCCTATCCAGTGTCTCTAAGCAGTTTATAGCATGGTCCCCCCCTTCTGTTACTTGTCCCTTTCCTTCCAGTATTGTTACTTTGTACAGGAGTCTGGAGGTTTGCATGTGAAGCAGAAAGGACATTGAGTTCTTCCCATATCGACAATGAATAAATTGTCCTCTCATCCATCTGTGAGCCTCCATGATCCTTAAACTCTCTCTCTTCCACCACAGTATTTGCTAAATCCCTTCTTGTTACTCTGTTCTTGACACATTTTAGCTTCAGCTGTACTTTGATCTCTTTGACCTTCCCAATTTTGTCCAACTGTCCAGGCAATGTTTTTATATTTTACTTTTCCTTTTTTCTGCTTGTAATAAGCTTTTTATAAATTCATCAAGGAGCTACAAACCTTAGCTAAAAAGGCCATGTATTGAAATTCCCAGTGATCTTGTGCAACAGGACAGTTTGTTTATGATCTCTCAATAAGCAACTTCTAGCTCTCCTGGGTACCTTTTCCCCACGTAGTAGCTTCCTAGAGGACTTTGCCTGGTGATTTCTTACACAAAGTGAGTTTTGCTCTAGAAAGGACAGAGTTCTGACTGTCCTGCTTTTACCTTCTTGGCCTTTCTCTAATCTTCCAATCTGCAACAAAAGTTGGACACATGCTCCTCCCTGCATATGAGTGGCAAGTCTAGGAGTGTTATTTCTGATCAGCGTGTCAGCCATTTACATTAGGAAGCTGTCACCAACTCAGTCTCGAAATTCTAGACATTTCCTGGGTGAATTGCAAAAGGTGTGTGAATGATTGAAATCTCCAGGAAGCTGCACAACCTGTGATCAGGACACTGATGCCATTTTTTTGTCAGAAGTCTCATCCATGTCTCATCATTCCTTCTGGCAGGGATTTGTTACAGACCACCAGGCAATATTGCTGCTGTTCTATCCTCCTGTGGTAACGACTCAGACAAGTCTCTGGTTTTGCAATTAATGAAGTGCAGTCAAGGAGCTCCTGCACATAGACCCAGAGCTGTGCTGGTGAGAGCAGCAGCACTGCTAGTTATTGTTCTGCAAGATGCCAGAACATCACCTGGACCCCTCATGCTTACCCCAGAGCTATGTGGTCTTCCCCTTGATCTATTCAAGGTGTCACTAGTACTCACATGGGTAAGCAAAAGAGGGAGTACTCAGAAGGACTGGATGAGCCTTGTAGTCCATTGCTGCTTCCCCCATGGCTCTGGGGAAGCAGCAAACTTCTCTGGACAATACATCTGTCCTGTACAAGAAGGAGTAATCAACCTCTAGCACTCATCATTTCACTGGATTAGCATCAGAATTATTAAGATGATTGAGGCATCTGGTCCAGAACCTTGCAAACACCACTTGCCCTACAAGTAGTTTTCTCCTGTGCTGCCATCTGAAAGAGGTATCACCTTGTTTAGTGGTATGGAATGTGAGTGTTAGCTTTTGTGGAAGGAAACAAGCTATTCAGCTATGGCTTCAAAATCCTCATCTGAGCCTGCAGGGTATTTGTGAAATACATGTTTAATGTTAACATAAGCCAAAGCTTTATAAATTTTAAACTTAAGGTGGGAACTCCTAGCACCTTCTACTGCTCTCGCTTTTTGTCTTCACAGTAGATAATTCTGTTTAATGGGATAATGCTATTTAATGGTAAAACCTAGCAACTTCAGAAGTGTTAGTGAAGATACTTGCTTGTCATCTTAAGGTTATAAATGCATTTATCTTCACTTGCTGTTTTCAGGTCAAAAAACTGCAGAACAAACAGGCAAAATGCATGGCATCAAGGGAGATGGGCATAATAGATGTGAGGAGGGTGGCTGCGCAAACAAGCCAACTTGGTATGCTTTAATGCTTTATGTTCGAGTATAGACAGTGTGGGATTGCAGTAATTTCAGTGAACCAGGGCTTATGAGTAAGACACCTTTTAGATCTTCTCATGCTCTGTCTTTTAAAGACAAATTCTAGAACAGTACTAGCAGGGAGTTTCACTGGACTCTTTCTGTGGATTACTTAAACATCTCCAGTTCATAGAATCATAGAATGGTTTGGGTTGGAAGGGACCTTAAAGATCATCTAGTTCCAACCCTCCTGCCATGGCCAGGGGCACCTTCCACTAGATCAGGTTGTTCAAAGCCCTGTCCAACCCTGAACACTTCCAGGGAGGGAGCAGCAAACATCTAGTGATATATTTTGTATTCAGTGAATTATCATTTCCTAGTTGTTGACTGTAAAATTTTTGGTCATGTTCAAAGTTCTGTTACTGGGATGCTGTGTCTCACCCTTGGGATAGCTACTTTGCTAAAGATGCTAAAACTTCAGAAGAGTTTTCAGAAAGCCCAGATCATTCCTGTGCTTTTCTGGAAAGTGTGACTTTAAATATCAGTGTACTTAATTGCCAGAGAGTAATTTTATCACTTTGTAGCAATAGGATGACTAAAGAAATATGTAATGGATTACCTAAAATGCACTTCTGTCCAATGGTTAATAAGATTCTGCTGTGGAAAGCTAAAGCTAGACTAATTCAGACAGGATTAAGGAAAAAAAATCAGTAGTCATGACTTACTACTGGTCATCTAGTACTAGTACTATCCCTGAAGTACCAGTTACTGAAATTTTGCTATTCTAGGACAAAAAAATTAGCTTGATACTAAAATTACTGAGTAGGGTTTTTACAGTTTGTTGGGTTATGTAATCATAGTCCTTTTCTGGCCTTCAGTTTTCTTAAAGATCCAGTACACTTCTGAAATATTAATGGCATGTTTTCTACATGCTATTCTATGAAATCAGAATTTTTGAGGAATTCATTAGTTGTTACCACGTAAGGAAAATGAAAAAAATTTTGAAGCATAATGTGAATTGGAATTACTTTAATCTATGTCTAGTAAAAATATTTATGTGGAGTTTTAATATATGCTCATCTTGATTATAGGTGTTGAAACTGTGCCACTTAAACAGAGAACTGGTGAATTTTTCAATCCTATGCTCAATGAGCAACAGAAACTGGCAGTGAAAAGGATACTGAGTGGCCAGTGTCGTCCAACACCTTATGTTCTCTTTGGACCACCAGGAACTGGAAAAACATTAACAGTAATTGAGGCTATTTTACAGGTAATGATGGATGACAAATCAGTCACTATTCTAACTACTAAAAAGAAAATTAACTCTATACTACCAAAACCAAGACAGTCTCTAATCTTTTCACTCTTGGAACACTTACATTAACTGTGTAAGTACTGTCATATTTTTTTTTTTCCCCAAGGAGTTTTTCAAAATACTTTTAATGATCTTTTTCTATAGCTCCTTGAAAGAGAAAAGATCTTGATATGGATTTAACAGAATTCCTGAATGGCTTATTTTCAAATCTTCTTGTCTTTGTCATTAAAGCTTTAGTGAACAGTATCTAGCTTGTGATTCCAGTAGTGCATAATATATTAAAGAAGCACGGGTATGCATTAATATGATAACCATTAATTAATCCTCCTGTCAGTACACTCAGTTTGAGAGTACTTAGTCATGACTGTCCAGACTAGTGTTCTTGAACTGCAAAATGATGAATAAATATAGCATGTATGCAAAACTCTTCTCAATTCTGTATTCAGTGAAGTAAAATGGGCATGTTTGAGCTATTGCTGCTTCTCCAAATAACCTCTTTTTACTGTCCATCTTCTTTAATATAGATACATTATACGCTATCAGATAGTAGAATTTTGGTTTGTGCTCCATCGAATGCTGCAACAGATCTGATTTGCTTGCGACTGCATGAAAGCAATCTGTTAAAACCAGGAGTTATGGTCCGAGTTAATGCCAGCTTCAGGTCAGAAGAGGTAAATATTATAGATATCTGCCAGTTGATATTTCCATTTTAATATTTTGATCTTAAAATACTGATTAAGTAATACAGCTGTCAGTGGTTATTAGGCTGGTCAGGCTTGTTTAGGACCCAAAGTATGAATATATTATTTCAGCTTTTCCAGAAGATTAACTGGAATATGTTGACCATAGTCCTTAATTTGATTGTATGAGCACAGAATCTTAACCTCTTTCCTGCAGTGCTCAACTCTGAAAATCCTACCAATATGTATGTCCTGCTTGTAATGTGGTCAGATGCTTTGACTTACAAAGCAATCCTAAAATCTGTTACTGAAGTCAAGCCCTTGTCTCCAAATTAGGACTACTTACACAGAAAAGTAAGCAAGTAGGATTGTCATCTTTATACACACATTGTGTGTGCATTTTTTATATATTTATGTGTATGAAACATCCATATGTTCAATTTTGATCCTTACAATAAAAAAGCCACAGATGGTCTTGCATATGTGGTATTTTGTTTAGGCAAATTAATTAAGAATTCAATTCAGTGTATGAATGGGTCTAAATCTAAGTGTTTTGCTCAGCTTCTAAAATAGTTTTCAGTGGGCTTTTTTATTCAAATTACAACATTTAGTTTTAGAATGGCATTTTGTTTTACAAAATACCTTTTTGTTTCTGCAGCAGATTGATGACATTGTGAAACCTTACTGCAAAGATGGTGATGATGTTCAAAAAGCATCTTGGTTCAGGATAATAATTACCACATGCAGCAGTGCAGGAATGTTTTATCAAACAGAAATAAGGTAGAGTACTATAGATAGGAATATCACTCGGATAGCTGGATGCTACAAAACCCAGAGCTTTTAGATACCCTCTGTACTGTAATTTGAATTTTAAAATTTCAATTGTAATTGAAATCGTGTTCCAAGCAAATCACTTGGTTTTAGTAATGTTTCAGCAGACACTTTCTCCATGGTAAATTTAAGAATTATCTTGAATAACGTTAAAAATTTTTGACACAGTAACTTCTCCTCCACTACCAGTGGGAGCCTTAGAAATTGTATTGCTGTTGACAATCATTGTGTCTCAAAATGATTGTCACACTAAGAATTATATTGTATTTGGTTTTTATCAAGTAACCTTTACTGATTGTAAACAACCACCATGTCAAGTGCTGTTAACTAAAGATTCCTGATTTTGATTTTAACTTTGTAAAAGGACACTCTGAAGCCTAACTGGCTTGAGTTGTTTGGTAGAAACAAAACCTGGGAATTGTCTTTGCTACACTAAATGCATTGTTCTAATTAAATAGCTGAAGGAAATTGAGAACAAGGAAAGCTTTTCGAAGTGTCTTAACCTTGGTATAAACAATGCTTTAATTGAGATAACCAGTGGTTGTGTATGTTGGAGTACATAAGTGAAATCAAAAATGACAAATTAAATTTACTGGGTTGTTTTTTCTATATTCTGTGTTGAAAATATCCACCTTTGCTCCATGTGTGTGGAGTTGCCTGGCAGGCTTGATAAAGGAATTAACAGAATTGCTGAGGTCAACCACCGGGTGGCAGAATGAACTAATCTGAAAACAGCCCTGTTTTGGGTTTATGTTATTTAATTTTAGGCTTGGCCACTTCACTCATGTGATCCTGGATGAGGCAGGGCAAGCAAGTGAACCAGAGAGCATGATTCCTATTGGGTTGATTTCAGAAGCTAATGGACAGGTAGTTCTCTTAACATCATTTACTGAAGGGAAAAATGTTTTTGTTTACTGTTTCTGTTTTTGTGAACGATGTAGAATGCAAGTGGCCATTTGCTGGTAATGAGTATGGAATTCTGAGTACTTGTAATATATTTTATTCTTGGACAGTATCCATTTCCTACACTTAAACAAGTTGTTTTACATCTAGTACAAGTCTACATTGGTAGGACAGGATTCAGTGTGTGGAAGATGTCAAAATAAAAATGTTCTTTCTTAGTTTAAGGCGACAACAATGTACTTCTGTCCTGGGATTAACCCTCTTCACAAACAGATTTTTGGAGGAGAGCAGAATACTTGATATAAATTGACCTTTGAATTCTGAAATGTGTGTGTTGTTATTGAAACTACATTTTTAATAACTGTTTTAATACAATATGGATTATTTTTTTTAATTGCATATACAGATAGTTCTTGTTGGAGATCCAAAGCAGTTAGGGCCAGTAGTAAAATCTAAAATTGCACTGGCTTTTGGATTAAATATGTCCTTTCTGGAAAGACTGACATCAAGAGAGATATATCTGAGAGATGAAGATGCTTTTGGTGCCTGTGGAGCATATAATCCTTTGTTGGTGAGTAAAACTACAATTTATTTGTTTTTTTCATCTAAATCAAAAAAGGAGAACTGTGGTTCCTGCTGTTTCCTTACCACCTTTTTGCTCCCTGATGCTTAGTGGCAAGTCTAGCTTGAGCATTAGTTCTCTAGGAAGCTTGATTATTTTGAATATATACTCTGAATAGCAAGGATACTGAGCACTCCAGCGTGTTAAAATCATTCTTTGAAGGTATTCTCTTTTCTTAAGCAGACTGAGTCAAGTATGGTGCACAAAGCAGAATTCTGAATAATGGCTTAAAATTCCCTTCCATCTCCATTGTCAACATATACCATAACTTTATAACTTAATTTTCCACAAATGAACAAGTACAACTTCTACTTTTAACATAAAAAGACAAACAAAGCCTCCTCTTTAAAGATAAAGATTAGTTTTGCAAACATCATGTTTCAGGACAGGGAAAAAGAAACTGCTCCTGTTTCTTTACCACCTCTTCCTCTGAAGGATAGTTTACCAAAACTCTTGTATGGTGAAGTACCTAAAGTCTGTGTTAAGAGGCAGAGGTAGCATAACGCATAAATAAGAACAGATGTTTTGGCTCCTTTAAATTATCATAGAATCATAGAATGGTTTGGATTGGAAGGGGCCTTAAAGATCATCTAGTTCCAACCCCACTGCCATCAGTAGGGACACCCCCCTCTAGACCAGGTTGCTCAAAGGCTCATCCAGCCTGGCCTTAAACACTTCCAGGGAGGGGGCATCCACAACTTCTCTGGGCAACCTGTTCCAGTGTCTGACCACCCTCACAGTGAAGAACTTCTTCCTAATATCTAATCTAAACCTCCCCTCTTTCAGTTTAAACCCATGGCTTCCGTAAGGCCATTCTTTCATTTAAAGACAAATACATTTCTGGTCTCTAAGGCCAGCTTCTGTCAAGTGTTCTGATGCTCCCTTTCAGCCTGTCAAGATGTCCTCAAAAAAAAGAGGTTACATCCATGGGAACCCCATGAAAAGAATCTGACTCTTAAAAAGAGAATGTGCCTACAGATCAAATGTTTTAAGGAACTGGAGAGTGACCAGTTCATCTGTCACATACGTTAGATTCTTTTTATTATTTTTTTTTCTTTTGAGGGGAAAGAGATGGTCCTTCAAAAAAATACTTGTATTTAGTATTTACTTACAAAAGATCACACCTGCAGATTTTGACTTTAATACAGTTCTTCATCAGCGCTAGAAAAGCTAAATGCTAGAGGGTGGTAAGGTAGTATCTGCTTGGGAGCTGTGTACTCAAGTCTGATGAATAATTATCTGTTTCAGTTATGGATTTTGGTTTTTGTCTTTGCAGATCACAAAACTCGTAAAGAACTATAGGTCACATTCTGCATTGCTTGCCTTGCCGTCTAAATTGTTTTATCATAAGGAGCTGGAAGTCTGTGCAGACACTTCAGTAGTAAATTCTATGTTGCATTGGGGGAAATTGCCCAGGAAGGGATTTCCATTAATTTTTCATGGAATCAGGGTATGTGAAATGTTCATGTAGTGAAAGTATGAATAAGGAGGCCTGATAGAAGTTTGATGTTGCTGTAGATGAATTTTCTTTAGAATGAATTCTAAAAAGGATATGAAAAAATAATAAACTGTCTTTTGCAAGTAATGTGACTTCCTGAACATCTGCTTTTAGAAACAACTACTGAAGTCAAATGTTTGCTGCCCATTGAAGTGTATTGTGGAGGCATTTTGATACAAATTTAAATTTGTAGCAGATTGACCAAGATAGAGCTAGAGTTAGCTGCCTTTAGATTGCTTTTCATGGGAGTTTGCTACATTAGGGTGAATACAAGCCTCTAAAACTAGAGGATTATTAACACTTAAATAGGCAGGGGAAAAAATAGTACTTTGGAAAAAAGTTTTTCTTTAGTCTTCCAAGCAGTTAGTAAAAAGTTATATCCACTGCTTTGTTAGGTGTTACTTGTTCACTGGAAAGGATGTATAGTGAAGAGAAATTGTATATAACATTACATCACTTTTTTGCATTTAGGATGTATAAGAATAATCTATTAATAAATATATAGTTCCTTCTGCACCTGGTTTTCATCATCTCATTTCCTTTTCCCTAATACAGGGCATTGAAACACGTGAAGGTTGCAGTCCTTCATGGTTTAATCCAACTGAAGCAGTTCAAGTAATGCAGTACTGTTGCCACCTTGCTAAAAATGAAAATGCTGTGGTGTCAGTGACTGATATTGGAGTGATTACACCGTATCATAAACAGGTATAACTGATGTCTAAGAACTTCAGAGTTCTGTATTTCATCTTGTGGTTTTACATTGTGGCTGGTTTGTTAAACTAGGGAGGCATAATCTCAGAACTTCACTGTTGTGTGTCAAGTTGCACAGTTATCAATCATTAATGAAGTTTCCATTGAAATCTATGCCTAGAGAAAGATAGCAGTAATGGCATTCTACTTTTGTAGTTTTAAAAATCAGGAAATGATTAAGGAGAGGTCTGCTTGCAGTTTCGGAGACAGAAGCAGATTTTTCAGTTATTGGGAATAAAGAGTGCAAGTCAAGGATCTATTATCCAGCAGCTGGAACAGCAATCTGGTTCTGTCACTGTGTGCACTGAGGAGTGGAACAAAAGGGAAATGTAGTGAAGTAGGTGGCATGTCTCAGCATGTCATGCTGTGCTTTGTTTTTGAAACTATTTATATTCAAGTCTGTTAAGTATGTGATGTCTGCTTTCATTTTAAAAAGAAGATTAAATCTCCTCTCATTTCCAGAGGGTGCTCTGGACAGTGTGCCTATTGATTTTCTTGGTCTTCACATCTCTGTAATCATGACCTTGCATGCATGGGTTGCGAGAAACGCTGTGAGGTGCTTGGAAAAGGCCAACTCCTTTTGAGGAAATATCACTTGCAAATTAGAGCTCTACCTGTATTGATCCTATTAGTCAGGTGTATGCACCTGCCTATTTTTACAGTTACTCTTTATTTTTAAAATATTTATCTATAGTATTGATGTCCCTGAACCTCTTATACTCTCTAAACATGTGATTTAATACAATTATGTTTGTTCTTCATCTGCCTATGATGCACAACTTATAATAGTAATGTCTGCTTCAAGGAAGTCGCCTTGTATTGCAGGAACGCTGATTAGAAAGTAGTCAATTGGCTGTAATCCTCAGTTTAGCCAGGCATGATTTCTTGGTAGATTTCTTGGGGCACTTAAGGTGTAGTCTCCATGCAGCTTTTAGCAGATGGTAATATACTGATCCTGCACATACCAGTGTTCTGGTGTGTGGGACTCCTTGTTCTCTTTCTCTTTTCCGGGAGGGTCCTTAAGTTCACATCTCACCTCTGTCTCTCACTCTGCATGATGCAGCTGGCAAGGCAAGGTGGAATCTCTGCACAGCCTTCTTGAGGGGCTGGGAGAAGGTGCTTGCCCTGCCACATCTGTGGTAAGCATAGTTTTGGATATAATGTACATCGGAAGAAGAGGGTTTGTGGATCAAAGTTGTTCTTCTCATTAAAATATAGAATATTAAAAATCTATTGATTTCTATTTAAATGATGGTAGCGTGTACTTCACCTTCTAAGTTGTGTGATGCTTCTCAGGAAAAGTTGTTGTTACATTTTAAAACCTCACTAGTGCAGATTGCTAAGCTTGGTGTAGGCATCTGTGTAGGCGTCTGTGTTAAATCACGTAGTTTATTATGTTTTCAGTTTTGAAGTGATCCACTCAAATGTAAAAATAAATCCCTTCAAATTCTTTTTTTTTTGTTGTTGTTGGTAGGCTGAAAAAATTAGATTTCTTCTGAGAAGTATTGATTTGGCAGACATTAAAGTTGGCACAGTAGAAGAGTTTCAAGGGCGGGAGTACATGGTTATCATCTTATCAACAGTAAGTATATTTGTTGTGGTCCTGTGGAGAATTTTTGTATGTGTCTAATTCTCTGTTTCCTTTTTTGATATAAGGCTTTTATAAATAAAAAATAAAAACTGAAAAGCTATTTTTATCAGTCTGTCACAGTATTTGAAAACAGAGCTTATTTTTAAGTGCATGGAAACAGTACAGCATGTTATTTTTGAGGTAAAGCTTAAACCTTTGTAGATGCTCGTGCTGAATTTATTTTAGAGTTTAATGCAGATAATGTAACTTTCACTTAAGTGCGCATAGGGAGAATGAAACTGGATGCATTATAAATATTAGAGACAACTGTGTAAATCACAGTACTAAAAAGTAACTGCTATTTGACTTATAAAAGCTGATGTAGGTTCTTGCATTCTTTTTCACCTTCAGTTTGAGAATCATTACTTAACAGTATACAGCTGGTGACTTCCCAGACACCAATGCTGACTGTGCCTAGAAGCTGAATAGCCTTTGTCACAATTTATTTTGCAGTGGTAGAAGAGCACTTGATAGTCTTTCATGATCATCTTTATGGTACAGTGCTGTGCTGGTTGTATTATAGGGATATTGGTAAAGGTCTTTTCTAGGTGCTAGCTTTTTGAATCTGAAGCTATCTAATGCCTTGAAGAAAGGGTCCAGGAGGAAAAAGAATAATCCCATGCTTTGTTTTTCCTTCAGCAGTACACTAGACACAGACCATCATCTTAGTAGTACATCACCGCCTTGGTTCACAGTTGGTTTTGATTTGCTACATCTATGTAAATATGAAGGTATAGGGGCATAAACTGAAATTTTTAGATAACCATGAAAATGCAGAGGTATTCAGTTTCATTCTTTGCAATAAATGGGTCTTTCAGAAAAGTGCTGACAAAATGGAGTGTTCAGAAAATGTGAGAAGATGCATGTGTGTGAGAAGATGATGTTTGTGGATTTGTGTTGAGCCCATCTTTATATTTGATGAAGGGGGAAAGAGAGGATTGTGTCACAGAGTACCGGGAAGGAGTTGCTGTTATTATTTGGAAGCTGGCAGCCCTTGTCTCTCACTGTCTTTTGAGAAGTTGATGACCAATATGCTTCAGCAGATGTCTGGGTTTTCTTCTGAAAGATCTCAGTGCATGTTATCTGCAGATGACAGGCAAAGATGTAGTCATAGTTTTCAGGCAGCTGACTGGAGTGTGGAAATCCTATCTGTAGCAGCTGAGACATCAGGCTGCAGAAGATGCTGAGGTTGAGCTGTGGTTAGATGCAGGAATATGCCAGTTCTGTCTCTCTAATGGTAGATATTAATCCAGTGCATGCACCTATCCCTGGTATTTGAATTCACATGAAAGCCCCATAAAGGGAAAAACTACAGCAGCTTCTTTATGTCCTACTTTTCTGTCCTTTGTCTTCTCAGGCATGTAAGATTGTTGGCTGGGGCTCTTGACAGGACACTTTTCTTTGTGCTTCCAAGGAGAAATCAATGTGGAGTCGAGAAGTGTAAGCAGCAGCTGTAAGTCAGCTGATAGTTACTGAGGCTTTTTGCAGACTGCTTCTTGGTACCAGAGTATGTGATACCAGTCCTTTATGTTCCGAGACAACATCCATCCATGTTGTAGGCGTGCTGAACTCCTGGACAGGAGTAAAAATCTCTGCTGGATCAGTGGAAAGGACAATTGGGAAACTTAAGAGAAAGGCTAACTTAATACTTTGAACATCAGCAAGTGATGCCAGTTCAGTGTACGTGATTGTGCTCGGGGGTTTAGACTTTCTTTTGGTGGCCATTATGGGCCCTACGTAGCTGTGTTTCTGCAGTGTGGAATTCGGTTCAGAATACAAAAAATGTCTGCATATGCTTGCTTTTTCCCAAATGGTAATATGGTTTTGGTGCAGTAAGTCCAAGTAGAAGATACAGGTGTTTGGAATGTGAAGTTCCTGATGTGTTTGTGACCCAGGATCACTCAGGGCTGTTCAAGAATGTACAGTACAGGCAGAGCCTGTATAAGTCCAAGCAATAGCCTGTGAGGCAAACTAGTCAAAGGAGGAAGTATAGACCAGGAACATGTAGCTGAAGATATCACCAGTACTGGACTGCTTCAAACAGGAGTATGTAGGATTACCAGATGAGAGGACAATAAAACAGCTGTGTAAACCACCAAAGCACGGGAAAGCAGGGTGAATGCAGGGGGTGGAGGAACAGTTGTTTTTTGGGGACTATTTTGTGGCTTGGGAAAAGAGCCTGTGGGATTTTCTTGCTTGTCTTTTTCCTGAGGGCAGTGTTACTATGTGTGCTTTCTTTGTTCTGCATCATATTGTAGCTTTTCACTTCACCATTTGTCTCTCTTAAAGTAATTCTAGTTATGTACTATGCTCCTATTTATAAGAACTCATTATTAAGTCCTGAAAATTTTCTTTTATCAAAGTTGGGTTCAAATATAGATTAAATAGAGGTGAAAATTTAATGAGCAATAGCTATAACGCACTAGTTGCTTTGGCCATGTTTTCTAAGCTAAGTTAAAGCACATTGGTGACACTACTGAAGAAGGCTTGTGGAAAGGCACACTGTGAATTGTCATTCAGCTGTAGGCATTAGAGTACCAGCAGCTCTAGCACTTCTTCTACTGAAAAGATAAAACCACCGATGTTCAGGAAGCAGTTTTGGTATCTTGTGCTTCAGATTACAGTGGGATAGTCCTGATGCTAAAACAAAAGTAGTGCACCATTCTCTTGAAACTGCTGAAGTTGCATGAGCAGCCTGTGGCAGAATAGACCCTCTGTGGGAAAGGCAAAGGTGGGAAATGGTTGGATGGTGGACATTTGGATTATTTTGCATTGCTGACACTGAGCTGTGGGTTGCTGCAGTAAGCAAATACTATGTTAAAGTTACGCTGCAGCTAGGCAAGTTACTTTCTCATTACTCTATTTCTAAAATTATCCTTAATTAATTTTAGGTGCGATCTCATGAAGGTTTATTTGGTGATGACAAATACTGTTTGGGCTTTCTCTCTAACCCAAAGAGATTTAATGTAGCAATTACTAGAGCAAAAGCTTTGCTGATTGTTGTGGGAAATCCTCATGTTCTTGCGAAAGTAAGTTTTGTTTTTATATCTTTGAATTTCATATGATATTTCACACAGTAAATGAATGATTTGGGGGGTTAACCTGGTGTGAGGGAACATCAAATTGTGTTAAGAATTGGTACACTGTCCTCAGTCTGCATTTGGGAATATCTGAACTCCATAGGTTCCTGTAAGTTCAGGCACACTCACAGTAGACTTACAAGCACAAAGGAAATTGCAATGCTGATCTGTGTACAGGGGCTCCTACCTCCTTTTTCTTTCTAGAAGAGGTCAGAACCTCAGTGCTGAAGTTCTCCAGCAGGCTACAAGTCCAGTAAGCATGTTCTGAATAACCTTATGCAATCAGATTCTTCACAAAATGCAGTTGCTTCACTTTTCAAATGGAGGGTGGTAGAAGTGATTGTTTGCAATTATTGTAACAGCCCACCAGGGAGGTGGTCTCCATTTGAACCCATGTGTGGTCCTTCCATAATATCTTCTTAATATGGTCCTTCTTAATATCTCATAAGATGTTATGTCTGACTTTCTGGATAAGAAGGAAAACAGATGCCAGGAATGGTCCAAATGGAAAGTTTAGTCTTCCCCACACCCACTTGCAACAAATGTAACTTCATAGAATCATAGAATGGTTTGGGTTGGAAGGGACCTTAAAGATCATCTAGTTCCAACCCCCTGCCATCAGCAGGGACACCTTCCACCAGACCAGGTTGCTCAAAGCCTCATCCAGCCTGGCCTTAAACACTTCCAGGGAGGGGGCATCCACAACTTCCTTGGGCAACTTGTTCCAGTGTCTGTGTTACACCATGCTTGCACCATTTGTAGAATTCTGTTTCTGGAAAAGGTCCTATTAAATCTCCTACATTCATATGCCCTGTTAATTTGTTTGAAAATTCACTTCACAGAGCAACATGATTTAAATTAAACATTAATCTTCTCTTGTAGGATCCCTGTTTTTGTGCACTGTTAGAATACAGTTTAACGAACAGAGTTTACGTAGGTTGTGACCTGCCTGCGGAGCTGGAGCGCCTGCAGAAGTGAGTGTCTGGTCTTCACTGTAACCTTGCTGGAGATGGGTCAGCTTACAGTACTTCCAAAGCTAGTAGCTTTTGAAAGATTGATGAATACAGCAACCTGTGACATCATAATAGCATTTGATTTTGCATTCTTAAGTACTGTAAACATAATAACATGTAATGTAACCATATTTTCTCCCACTCCATAAGAAGAGTCTGAGCATTAAGTATTAAATAAGAACTGTTGTTGACTTTGGTATCTTGCATATCCCCAAATGATGCATTACATACTTGATAACCATAAGGATTTTGGTAGTGGGGGGTGCAGGGGAAATGTTTAAGGTGACTTTACTGTAATTAAATAAATTTGCTTGAAGATTGATTTAAACATGTCCCTTCTAGTAACATGTAATACATTGTTAAATGGGTATTATCTAATAGATGAAAATTTTTTTCATTAAAATTGTTGTTCATGGAAAGGTAAGCAAAATTTTTATCTTACTCTCTTTAATTGACAGGTGTGACTAGTTTTTCAGTGTTCAAGATGCAGTCAGTCCTCATCTGTTTTGAAACTAAGAATACTTAACAGAAATTCAGTCCTGAGCAAATCCAGCACCTTTTGTCCTCAGGGAAAGGGATGTGTTCTGAAATGGTTGGAAGTTTCTCCAGACAAAATTTTTAATACTTTTTTTTTTAAGAAGTGGAAAAGTTGAAAACTAACAATAAAAAATAGTAGTGGCAACTTATTTACTTTTCTGTTTAAAATGTACATGACTTTATGCCTCTGCATAGAACAGTATGCCTGAATCTGTAACAGTATGCCTGAATCCTCCAAGCTTCAGAAGAAAAATATTTATTAACTCCTATGTTAGATTTTCCTTATTCTACAATTTTTATAACTTTCCAGTTTTCTAAGACTTTTGTAATGCCTCCTAAAACTGGACTGTCCAGTTACAGAACAGATGTCTTGTAATTTTGTTGTGGGAGTGTTGCAGTAATATACCCACTACGTGAAGTAGAATGATACATGAGGATCTCCACTTGACTGATGCTGAGTATCTTAAGCCGAGCATGCTTAAAAACCCTGTTTCCAGTTTTTGAGGCCTTTGTGTGTACAGCTGAGGTAACACAGGATTTTCTTGGTTTTCTACTGCAGTCCAGCTATCTGCAGTAGTGTATGTCAGAGCAATATCTCAAATGGTGGCTTTCAAAAAATAAATAAATAAACCCACGTTTTGTGTTTCTACAAATGCACTGTAGTATAAAGTATCTTGTCTTATTTTGACAAAAATAACTGATGGGTTAGCAGTCTTCCTGCTATCAACTTCATTGGGTGCTGTGCTGTCCCTTAAACAGTGTTTTTTCTTTCTTTCTTGTCCCCTCCTTGGTGATTAAGTCTTGCCAAACACCACTTTAGGAATAGTTGGACAACAAGCTGCTGTGTTTAGGAGCTGCCAGCACAAGATGGCTTTCTCTAACAGACACAAGTATTTTGGATGGGCCTGTAGCCTACAGAGAAACAAATGGGGAGGCAGGGGGAAGATAGCAAGCTTTTGTTTGCTTGTTTGCAGTCCACTGTATCACTTCCATGTACTCTTTTCCTCAGCAATGCACAGTATGTAGATACTGCAACTTATAAGATGGTAAATGTGGTAAAATACCAAAGGCAGATACTATGTAGGGGTGCACTGTACTGTGACGCGTCGTGTGGAGAGCCCAGAATTACCTCCCATCCAAACAACGCTGTGTGTGTATCCGTTCTGAGTCACAGCTGTGTTTGAGCAGCACTCGGGACTATTCAGCCCAGCCTCTTTGCCATGGTGTTACGTTGCTTAAATTGCTTTCACTTATGACAGGTTTAGAATGAATAGGTGGTTCGTGTTGTTGCAGTATGATGCTGAAAATACTAGTAGCGTTGGTGCTGTGCCAATATTCTACATCAGACTCGGGAAGCTGTTTAACTAAGAATCTGTCCTGGTTGTTGCCTATTGAAAGACCTCTTGTTTCAGGGTTGTGTTATGATGTACCACATCTCACAAACCACTGTTCAGAGCTAGCGCTGCTTAGACTTACTGCCAGCCTTGCTCTTTGTCAGTGTGCTCGTGCTCTCTTCAGAAAACGGTGAAGAGATCGTAATGGGGATGGATGATGCTTACTTTATTGCAAGATATAATCCGGAACTACTGATTAGTATTTCCATGACCTCTGCATAGCAAAGTAGCAGAGGATTGATTATATTGTGATACTTAATAGCTACAAGTTAATAATCTATTAACTGTACTAGTTTGCATGTTGACATCAGTTTCTACAAAGATAAAAAACCTATTTGATTTATTTTTGAACATTGTGAACATTACTCAGTAAAAGTCAAATGATAAATGCCTATTGTCATGCATGGTGTTTATTTTTTTAGATGAGTTCTTACTTTAAAGGGCAAGTACACATTTTTGAAGGAAGAAAAAAACCACCTCATCCAACAACTACATTTTGCCAGTGGAGAAACTCAGATACGCTTTTCACTGATAACTGTTCTTACTGTAACTTACATCACCCACAACTAACATGTGGAAACCTTTTCCCTGAGCTGGCGGCACAAAGCAAGCTTGCACTCTCTTTATGTTGAAGACTGGGGAGAAGGGGGATTTCTGTTCCTAGTTCTATTGTTATGCATTTAAAACTACTTTATTTTTCTATCCCTTTCACCTCACCCTCTGTGCTGCTGCTTATTAATGACTGAGAAGCTGCACTGTGTGATAGAAAACAACTTTGTCATCTTCCTTCTCTTGCAGTGTTTCTCATTTCTTTCTGCCTACCCAGCTGCTACTGGAAACCTTGTTTGAAGAGAGACCTACCCATTGGAATTGTACAGGATTAAACAGTGTTTGCAAGTTTAGAATAGTTTCTTCTGGCAGCTTGATGTGCAGGCAGAGCTGGTTGTTCCAAAGGTGTTAGCTTCAATATTCTAGTCATCTCTTTCATGAAGACATGGCCTGATGAGCTGGAATGAAGAAGAGGGGAGAAAACAGTCTGAGTTCTCACTGTTGGTTAAAATAATCTTTAATTTTTACTGTGACAAAAATTTACATAAATTTCTTTGGGGATATGCAAAAGAAAAGGATCAGCCACTGCATGCAAAAGTAGCAATGACAAGAGTTGGTCAGCCATTCTCTTTCTTGTAGAGACAGTTAAACTTGGGTCTTACTTTGCATGAAAGTTACTCAGTTCTGTTTACAGGAACAGTCTTTTCCCAAGAAAGAAAATAACAACAACTCTTTGTCATGGCTGATCATCATTTATTAATTCCTTGCCTTGCTAAGAAATTACAAAAACCAGACAGGGCTTCTACCATGTCTTGAGGAGCGTGTCAGAGGTACATCTAAAAGTATTTTAGAATGTGGAGGCTTTATTAGAGTGGCAATCTGCAGGGCAAATGTACGGCCCATTATCCCAGTTAAGGATATTAGATCACAGAATCACAGAGGCTTGGAAGGGACAGGTGGAGATCATCTAGTCCAACCCCCCTGCCAAAGCAGGTTCACCCAGAGCAGGTTGCACAGGAAAGCATCCAGGTGGGTTTTGAACATCTCCAGAGAAGGAGACTCCACGACCTCTCTGGGCAGCCTGTTCCAGTGCTCTGTCACCCTCACAGTACAGAAGTTTTTCCTCATGTTTTAAGTGGAACCTCCTGTGTTCCAGTTTGTGCCCATTGCCCCTTGTCCTGTCACTGGCCACCACTGTAAAGAGTCTGGCCCCATCCTCTTGACACTTGCCCTTTAGATATTTATAAACATTGATAAGGTCCCCTCTCGTCTTCTCTAGGCTAAACAGACCCAGCTCTCTCAGTCTTTCCTCATAAGAAAGATGCTCCAGCCCCTTAATCATCTTTGTAGCCCTAATCAAGGGGGAAAGAAATAGAATTCAAGAACTGCATCAGCTATTTACTGTCTTCTGTAACGATTTGACAATGTTTCGAAAGTTCATTAGACTTCTCTCCTTTAAATAAAACAGCTTCAAGGTGTCAGGGCGTACTGTGCTGTACATTTTGGAACTCAGATGCCAGAATAATGAGTATTCTAAATCTTAATAAGAAACAGACTCTTTTAAAAAGCAGTATTGCTTTTTTGCAACTAACAAAAAGGAGCATCAGCATTCATCCACAGATTCAGAAACAATTCATTTGTTTCAGTTTTCCCAGACTTGTTAAAATTTATATACTCTCATTATTTAAACAATTGGAGTTTTGGGGTTTTTTTCATAGTACTGGTAAGGAAAATGCGATATGCCTCTAAGCTGTGGGGAAGGGTCTTCCAGCGTATGGTGAAGACTGGGAGTGTAAAATAATCCTTTCAAACTGCTGGAATTTCCTTACAGTTTTAAGTGTTGTTATGTCTTAGTATTTCTTTAAAGATACTTCAGTAACAGCTTCTTGCGAATTGTTCTGCAGGAGCAGAAGGCATCTCTTCCACCTAGCGTCTCACAGACGTACAGGGAGGAGGTGATGTGCTGTGGGACAGAAGTCAAACTGCAGACTGTGGAATGAGTTACATGTACCTAGAGGACAAAGTGCTGTTGAAATGTTAAATTTGGAGAGGTTTGGAATTTGTCTAAAAGGCACAAATGAATAGTTCTAGTCTAGAACTAATAGTTCTTTTAAGGAATACTCATATTTCAGGAAATAAAAATTAGGAGCCAGAAGAGACTACAGGTAATGAAAGAATACAGTCAACAAAGGGAAAATGGAGAAACAATTTTTAGTTTAAAAAAAAATACACAAAAAATAAATAAACAAACAAAACCCCCCACAAGAATTAGCCACTCAGCTTCTAACCTTTACTTGTTTCTTTTCCATGCTCTGTATATAACTTCTCTTCCTCTTGCCTAACTGGAAGATGCAGATGATGTGAAAGATTCCTCTCTGTCATCTGGTGCATATACAGCTGGCTGTGTAAATGCCCGAGAGTTGTGTTTCATCTAGGTTGTCTAGGCTACTTCTCTAGCTGATGGAGAGAAAGTACTCTGGAAGGT